AAAAGAAAAAAGTACACTGTGTTGCAAAAGAATATTTGTTGCTTTCCTTTTCAGAGGGTAGTGCTGGTTTTAAGAAGAAACGCAATGTCAGAATTACTGCGTTCTAATTTATGTTGGTAAAACACAGATACAAGTATGTTAATACTTAGTTATATCAGTCGTTGCAATAGTATTGTGGGATGTTTTAAACATCAAATTGCCTTACAAATGGCTTTTTATAGAGGTTTGTGATGAATTTCCAAGAACATGGGGCAGCTGTACTCATTATACTTTCAAATCCGTTAGTGAGGGGGTTTTTTTGGTGCCTGTTTTTCTCTACACGTTGGGAAAATCTCCAGCCTCGTAACTTGTAATTGTTTATTGGTATTACACTGCTGAGAGTGTGATTTTGCAGTGTTCTTCTAGAAAGTATTTATATATGGATTGGCATGCAGATCTGTCTGATAGAGGTGCATCGGAAGGAGCCCGACATAAAATTCATTGCCATTGTAATGGTGAAGAGGAGCAGCAGTGTTGAACAGAAGCAGGACAACTCCCTTACTAGCCATTCCATACAAAAAAGATTGTGAGGAAAGGACGTGCAGTGAAATTTTTCAATGTGTTGTTTGGTGCTTTGACTAATGAAGTTCCTTTGGGTCTTACTGCAAACGCTTGCAAGTTTGGTCAGTGGGGGCATTGCAAGTCTTATCTCCCTGTGCCAGCATTTCTGAATGAAGCTAAAGTAAAAATTCTATAGCAAGCCTGGATCTCCCAGGGAGCTAATTTGGGTCTGAATTCTCTGTTGCAAGGGATTATTATTGCTTAATCTGCTAGTAATGTGGAGGTCTAATCAGGTTACTTTACTTCTGCATGCTGGTGCATTGAGTTGATTCTTTTTCCATGGAAAAAAATGACAAAATTCCCACTGTGTTCCGAGAGAGAAAGTTGGGGTCTGCACTTAGCTTGATATCAAAAAAGTCAGAAAAGACTCATGGTTTTATCTTTCAGTATGTGGCAGAAATAGATTTTAGCATATCAAGGACAATGCTAGTAAGACATAATTAAAATCTAGCTCATATATTTGATTTAGTAAGTTCTTTTGCAAAAGTTTGTTTATGCCAACTCAGATTATCGTTTGCTCTTATTTCAGTGACAGAACAATTTTCTGAATGTTCTTTTAACTGAACCGTGCATTGTTCATCAATTTCCATTCTGTTAAATCCCATCAAACAATACAGACACTTGTCAGGTCAGTTTAAGAATAATTTTAGATTTCTTTATAAATTTTCTTTATATAATTTTACATAAAAAGAGGAAAACCATTCTTATTTGCTCATTTCAGTCATGGAGAAGTCCAGAAAAATATTACATTTTCCAATAAATGTGATAATAAAAATTTCCTTTCAGTATTTTCATCTGACAGGTTACATCATTTGAGTCCTGAAAAAGATGAGAAGCTGAGAACTAGATCAATTTATCAAATTCCGTGATCTAGATGCAAGACAGAAAAAAAAAAATACAACCTACAAACAAACAGATTTAATAAGGCTAAATTGTATTTTTGACATTTTACTTTTAATCCAAGGTACTGGTAGTATCATAGTAACGTTTTAAAATACCTGACAAGGTTTAGGACTTGGAGTCCTGATAAAATGATAGTTTCTCCTAAGTATCATTTAAAAATCTACACAGCAAATCTCCATTTTACTAAGGATTTATAAAATTTATCTGTCTCATCACATAGTGCTGTATTTCTGTACAAGGCAGTGTAGAAGGTAACAAGTACTGGAACTAACTGAGGACATTTAACAATTTGCTGTGATATTTCCTAGTTTATTGCTGGTGAATACTGGACTACATCCAAATGATACGGGAACACAGAATAGCATTTTATATGGTGAAATGCTCAAGTTCAGTACTCTGATGAGGAAAGAGTAAAAGAAAAGAATGCCTGTTCAGTGGTCCATGTTTAGCTAAATAGTGCTGGTGAGTAACTCTACTCTTTCTCCCTGTTCAGACTTCATGCAGGAGCGTTCATATCTAGACCTAGCTCAAGCTGAGTAGTTTGATATCAGTCTTCTGTGCAGGTTTGTTGTGGATCAAAGAGAGGCTTCTGTGCCTGTCACTGACTGCGTTCTGGGAGTGCCAAGCACGCAGCAGTAGACTCCTTGCACAAACCAGCTGGGACCACGCTTAAAACATTTGTACCTGATGGTAGTATCTCTTGAGAGAGGACTCCTTATTTGCTCTAGTACCAGCTCCTTCAATACAGAGAGAAGTTGTGAAATCTGACAGTTGGAGAGTGCTTTGATTTGTGATGTGTCCGGAAGGACTGTCCTCCATCCTTGGTGCAGTCTGGCCAGTGATAAGGTATTGAATTAGGAAAGCAGTACTGTTAGAACCATGCACCAGTCTGCTGAGCATGCCTCCCACATTTTCTCAAGCCCTGCAAATATTGCAGGTCTATACAGTGATAGTTCTGTGGATAATATTCTGCTTAATGGCAGGTTAACGAAAGGGAAATTACTATGATACTGTGCTAGGAGTAAAAGTCTCAAGCCCAGATTATCCTGAATTGTAGCACTGCAATGTTTAATTCATGACAGGACAGAGTGATGCAATTTTTTGTTGGAATTGACTCATCAGTGAGAGCTCCAGATAAATCATATTGCTTCCCTGCAAGTTACTCTATCTAAAATAATTAAAACAGGTATGACCTTTTAAAATGTTTCAGGAAATACTGATGGATGACTTGTGTCTTTTTGACTGAAAATCTTTTTGTTACTACAGTTAGAGAAGGATTTCAGACTTACAGACAAATACTGATGTAGTTTCACATGTGCAGCTGTTTCATTTTAATGTAATCCCTGAACTTATTACTAATTACTGGAACTGAGAAGATGCTCTCTAATTTACATCAGTGGAACAAAGGGAAAAAAAAGTTTGAAATGTGACCAATGTGACTAAAAGTAACATTTGAAGTACCAGATGCTGCGGCTTATGGTCCCAAAGCTCCATTAGGACTGCTTAAATGCTTCAAGTTAATGTATTAAGTTTGCATTTTGGTTCTACATAGGTATCTCAGTCAGAACTAAGAGCCACTGAATCATGTATGAACTAGAAGAGGGCGTTGTCCTTTGAAGACTGCAGTGCAAAAGACAGAACAGATGAAAAGAGGCCCACACAGACATTCATTTAGCCCAGTTATACAGGATAGAACATTAAGATTTCTCTCTTGTATAAATAACTTTTTCCCTATGCTGCTGTTCTCTGTATAGCTCATACACTTAACATTTTTTTATTTTTTTAAGAATTGGTATCAGTCAAAGCAAAACCTGGTGCTAATCCTGCTGCATGTCAGAAGGAAGGTTTATAGGAGCCTGAACCCTTCCATGGCAGTGGTGAACATGAAGCAGATCACAAGCCGAGTAGGTTCTACTATGCTTAAAAAAATTGGGCTGACTGCCAGAGCTAGAGTAGGCAGTAACAGAAGGGAAAGTGAGAAGACAGTGACCGGAGTCTAGGGAGTCAGTGAAAAGAGGTTACGATGGAGTTCGGTAGGCAACTGGAGTGAAATTCAACTTCCAAATACTTGGAAATTATTGGAAAAAGTAATTGCCCTTTTGGCTAGGAGGCTGGTACTTGTGGTGGCAGAGGTTTTATTTCTGGTGCTGGGAAGTCTCATCTTGATAAGCTGTGGGCTGTGTTCCAGTGGCCTAATGTCTTTGCTTTGGGTCTGGCACGAAGCAGCCGCGAGGTGCTTGGTCTTTCAGTGACTGTGTGAACAGTTCCTTGCAGTTCTCCACTGCGTGGGATTTTGTCAGGACATGATGCAGCCTTCATACTATGGACCAGATGTTGCAGCAAGCCCATAAGCAAAAGCTGTAAGGTCTCATGTTTCTTGAAGTAGTTTCTGATTCTCATCAGTTAGCAGTTCTTGATTAGACTTCTTGTGTATTTGTTACAGAAGCCCTCTTTAGAGCTTTCATGAAGCTTAACACATAATCTAAATCCTTTTTAAGACTCTTAATTGTGCAGATGGCTTTGCACACACTTGTTTTATCCCATGTGATTAGTGAAAAATTTATTGAAAAACATTCCTTCCCAAAATCTTACAGTTATGGTTACCTTTTGTATGGCAGCTGCAAGAAAGTTTGTCTGTCTTTTTAAATGATTGTGTTTAAGAAAAACAAGCATTCAAACGCAGGCATTTTTGTTTATGTACATACACATTTAAAACAGTAGGCTTTTAAAATGGATTTGGCATTTCAAATATTTCTGATAGTTTCTTAGGAAATATCTGAAGTATCAAAGCTTGTAAAGTATGAGTATCTCTCCTTTCAGACTGTGACTGTGATTATATATTCCAGGATGAAGAATAACAAGAAAATAAGTCACCATTGCTTTTGAACTACTACATACATCCACTCCATCAAAATTTTAATGGCTGCATGACTTTCTGAAATGGTCTGAAAAACTTAATTTACTTTGGTTAAAATACACTTTTAATAAATTCAAGTACAGCTATTAAGTCACGAAGTAATGGAGCTGAAGTCCTCCATTTTATGTAAAGAGCATACCCTTTTATGCCTGATAAAAAGAATCTTGTTATGGTATCAAAATAAGAACTATCAGTCCATAGGAACTAAACAAAATAAAAAAACCCAACAACCCTTAACAAGTGAATGAAATGTATTTTATAACATCTTTTGAACCAAATAGTGGGCTTATTCCCTACAACTTGAAAGTGGTTTAACATCCCTTTCTTCTTGTTTTCTCCTCTTGTCAAACCATTGAGATATTCAGAAATGGGTGAAAAAAAAGCACACAATTTCAAAATTAAGTTTCGTCTGCATAATAATGTAATACCCTTTTAATTTTTTTTTTTTCCACAGATACTTTCAGTAGAACAGACGTTGAGAAGCAGAAGTCCTTACTGATTCCCTGATATCAAGGACTCATCAGGCACAATCTTCAGTCTTTTTATTCAGTATTTTTCCCACGCTGAGGGAGAGTCTGCTTCAGTGTCCATCTGTCTCAGCTGAACGTCATCTTGCTGTTTGTTTCAAATTACAAATGCCTAAGAACAGCAAGGTAGTGAAAAGAGAACTAGATGATGAGGTCATTGAGTCAGTTAAGGACCTGCTGTCTAATGAGGACTCTTCAGATGATGCCTTCAAGAAGAGTGAACTTATGGTTGATGATCAGGAAGAAAAGGATGTAGATGTTGAGGAAGGCTCAGATGTAGAAGATGAAAGACCTGCTTGGAACAGCAAACTCCAGTATATTCTGGCACAAGTTGGATTTTCTGTGGGATTGGGGAATGTGTGGCGATTCCCCTATCTGTGTCAGAAGAATGGTGGAGGTAAGTTTTGTGATACAGCTAGTTGTATCTAGATGATGGTGCTAACTCTTCAGGTTTCAAAGTTAGCAGAGAGAGCCACAGTCAAACCTGCTCCAACATGTCAGGTTATTCTTTTAGTTTTTGCCAGAACCTATGAGGAAAAGCCCACATTTTCTTCATTTAGAAAAATGCATTTGTTTAAGTAAGTAGCAGATTCTTCTAAGCTGCCATTTCCTCATTTTTGGGTAGAAAGCTCTTTATACAACCCTAGCTACTGCTCAATTCAGTGGCTACTCATAACACGTAATTATGGAGGGTTGCATTGTTTAAGACCTGGTTATTGTGCTTAAGTGTTCTTTATAGTACAAGGCATTAAGACTGCATCCACTTTAAAGACTAAAGCAGCATTTTGTATTTAGTGTACTAGTAGTACTTAGTATTTAGTGTATTTAGTGGTACTAAGTTTCACACCTTTACTTTCTAATTGCTTTTAGCTCCTGGCCATTTGATCATGATTTTCATGATTTACTTCTGGCAAGAACTTCAAAATACTCTGGGAGGGAAAAAGTTGTGGGGTTTTTTTGTTGTTGTTTGTTTGTTTGTTTTCTTTTTCTTTCTTTTTTTTTACTGATGATAAATAATTTAAATCATTACTGATGATAAATAATTTAAATCATTACATTAAGAGACAAGCATCTGGTTTTGTGCTGTTAGAGGGTTTATTATTTCCCTAAATAACAAGGTACCTTTCACTTAAAACAATAACATCAAGCTGTTTGTTAGTTGACCACCTGTGGTCTTGAATGCAGTTTGAAGTGTGAGGCTGGAGACTTTCCTTCCTCTATGAATGCAGGATTAGAATTTCATCCAATGTTAACCCAAATATACTACAATAATGCACACTCTATTGTAGCTAATTACTAAGCTGAGTTCAAAACAAACCTGTCACTTTTTATGATACAGAAAGTGAATGTGTACAGAAAATGAAGAATAACATTCCACTCTTGCTGCTTTTTTAAAAACTGAATGATACAACTGATGTAACGGAGGAGTACAGAAATGAGGCTAGAATATGATAAAAGTGTAATTCTTTATTTGTTTTCTCTCAAATCAAGCACCAAAAAAATTAAGTTTATGCTTTCAAGTATTCTATCTTTAGGACAAAGTTATTCTTTTATATCTAGTTACTGATTTATTTTTTTTTACTTTCATTTAAGTTTTTTTTTTTTCTCTTTTATTCTGGAGAGAAGGTCACTACATGATTGATTTTAAAGTATGGTGTCAAGATGTAGTCTCAAGGATAATGGACTATAACAGTTTATTTTGTGTAGTTGTGTCCCTTTGAAAGTCTGTGTCTAATGTAGTTAGGAATTTTGCAAGCCACTTGGATTCTCCTTTGAACCAAAGGAAGGGATCCATTGGTGTGCTCCTTGGGCTGTTGGTTTCATGCCCTCAGGTGCTTCCAAAATTACTATCAGTGAAGATAAGTTTAATTCTGGTCAAATATAAATAAATTAAGTTAGTCAGTAATTTCACATTTCATAAAAAAACCCACAAAACAGTAAACCATCCAATCTTCAAGGATTATGACACTTTTTTCATCAGACTTGAAAAAGTAGCTATGGTGTCACTTGAGATTGTAGTTAAATGTTTTCTCCTGTGCTGTGATTGCAGGAAATTGGATGTATAACATAGTCTGTGGAGATACAGTGTTTTCTGCACCTGCTGAGACAAGAGTGTACTTGGCTTTTAACAATAATTTTAACACCATTTTAGCAAATGGCAGCCTTCTGAACAACAGAGAAAAGAAATTGATCATTAGAGCTGAAGCTTGCTTGGTTTTCAAGTTAATCCTAATGCAAGATGGAGAAGGTGACGCAAAACTTTGAAATATGTAAAGTACATTGGTGCCTGTATGTGTATGGAGATGGACAGATAATTCTCACAAGTGCATAGAAGAATAGGGGGAGGGAGTGAAAACTTCAAACACATGGTAAGAAAACATACACACATTTTATAGGAGGTTCTGTTTTCTGCTACACATATTTTTTCTAATAAGTATTCTAGGTAAAATTAGAGTAGTTTTGTGTAATCCATGGAAATATCAGTGTCAGAACTGTTCTGTAATCTTCTGATAAAGCTTTACTATAAATAGCTATTGATATCTCTTGATGTATCGTAAACTTTCTCTGAATTTCTCACTAGAATTGTTTCAGTGAAGTGTATGACTAGGTCTCTACCTTCCATTTAGACCTTCATTTTCTTCCCTGTGTTTAAGGAACTTATATCTGGAAAATACCATGTGAGGGGAGGGAAGTATATTAAAAAGTAATAATAAATAATAGTTAAATAAATAATAAATCCAGTTACAATTTAAACCAAAAAGAAATAAAAAACATAGATACTCAGTAGTTTCCTTCACAGCCTTCATATACTGTATTCTAAAACCACCAGTAAAAGAAAAGGCATATCCTAACTGTGTTGACAAGAACAACAAAATAAACAGAGAAGACACAGCAAGGCTAGCCAAACTATATATATGTAATGTGGGAATTTTGTGGAGAAAAATTTGTGTGTTTCCCACCCTGTTTTCAGTAAGAGATTTAGTTTGTTTATGGTTGTGGCCTGTGGTATAATGACCCTCCTAATGTCAGAGCTCTCTACTGCTTCAGTGAAATACCTGTGATACCATCTTTAAAAGTAACTTGAATAGCACTATTCTGCAGTGAGAATTTGGATATCTAGATATCCATCTCTTGCCATATCTAGATATCCATATCTTTGCCATCTCCGTTTCTGAGTCTGGTCTGTTCCACCAAACCAACATCCTTCAATTTATTTCTTGTGATTATTTAACACGTACTCCTGCTGCTTTAATTCATAGCAACTCAAAAATATTTAGAGTAGTATCTGGTATTTTTTATAGTTAACTAACCAGCTAGAAAGGGTAGCTTTTTGCTGACTTTCTCACTTACCTTATTCCCAGAAAAATGTTTGTTGGGAGAGGTGAGAGAAAAGGCTGTTACGCAGCTGGGATGTACTTGGATCCACATTGGGGATGTAGCTGTAATGCCAAATGTATTGATGGGAAAAGAGTCTGGTAGGAGACTGAGAGCATTCTAGGGTGCTGGTTTTCTTGACTTGAGAGGGAGGGCACAAAGGAGTTTCAGGCTCTGTGAAAGAGGGGCTGAAGATGTGTCAGCAAAGTTGTGAGGAACTGACTGTCCTCACCACAGGCCCTTCTTACCCCTGGCAGGCAATGCCCAGACCTCATCTGGCACTTAAGGCTCCTCTTCCACTCTTTGCAGCCTAACAGATAAAAAAGCTGTTTCATCCTTGGTTCTTGATAAAGGCAATTTGTGCTGCAGCTGAGTATGCTCAATTTCATTTTTGCACTGTAGGATTTGTTTATTCCTCCTTTACTACATGCAGGTGAATATGTGTGTTTGTTCAGATAAGCACAGTTCCTGTATAACAATTTCATAACCTCTGTTATGGTTCAGAGCTGCCTCGGCTTCCTATGGTTGATAGCCTTAAAAATGAACTGCTCAGGTCTACCCAGTCTTGCCAAGATGCTCATAAATAGTGACAAACTAGATTTATAATTTCCTGCTGCTCATAACTGTCATCCAGAGGCCAGCTTGCACATCTTTCACTATTTTCAAACAAAGAAAATACTTAAATTTATTCTGTTTGCTTGTCATTTCCCTTTAGGATTAGCAGAAGTATAATGATACTGTTACATAATTAGAAGTAACAAAGGAAAATTAAATTGGCTGAGTGGTACTAGTTAAAATAGACTGAGTGTTACTTTGAAGAGAAGCGAGGAGTCCGAGGAGTCTGCAAGGTGCTACATGCCCAAAGATTGTGTTGCATTTTTGTGGGTATTAACTTAATTTTTCTGATTTTTCTTCTTTTTTTTTTTTTTTTTAAAGGTAAGTCTTTCTTAATATCTCTGTGATATAAAAAGTGAAAAGAACTACTATACAATTATAGATAAAAGCTGTGAGTAAAATAGGAAAAATTGTAGCACATGATAGTGTCATTATGTTTTGAAAAGATTGACCTAGGTAGAGTCACATTGAGAGTTTTTACAGTTAAGTAGTCTGAATTTTTTACTGAAATACCAGTTGATTGACATTAAAGTTCTGTGGTCTAATGAAAAAGCATGGCAGTTTTGCTTTTTCCTCTGCATTGCTCTGTTAGAAGCTACAACTAATACAAGAGAAATAGGAGCAAAACAATTATTTCCTAGTATTCCAACACTTGACTATGGATTCAGAGGCTTTATTATGTAGCTTTGGATCAAGAATTTATATTTAATGCCTGGACTTCACTGATGACTACAGTGTAATTTTCTGAGTTCAGTATTATCAGACTTAAAATTTGGTTGTACTTTAGTGTACTGAAATTTCCTGTTTCTATTTTTCAAGTGTAATTCTTCACTGAAGCTAATTGGCTAAGGTGATATTCACCCTTTGAGCACAGTTTTGTAAACAGGCACACCTGCACATACTGAACTAAGACTAGTGACAAGAAGACTATCCTATCAGGATAGAATATAAACCTACAGATAAATCATAAAACAATTTATCAGAGTTTTCCTGAAAAAAGCAGTTTCAATTTTGTAGTGGTAAATAATTTTTTTTTACTGAAGCTTAGTATACTGTTAACAGTGTTTCATTGCTCACTTGTCATAACTTAGAAAATTTTAGCATTTGTCATTGAAAATAAGTTTATCTTCATCTGATTGTCAGCTTCTTGCTTGCATTCCTTTAGTAAGCGTCTAGTAAGCAGTAAGAGCTGGGATCCCTCTTCAAGACAGTAGTAAACTTCACCATGATTGAAAAAGAATTAAATCAGACATCAGACAATTAAAATCTAGCACAGCAGCAGATGAAACCAATGTGGAAAGTTAATACATTTTTCAGGTTACATCAAGAAGCGCTAAAAGAAGAAAATTCTTATGTAGTATCAAGGTGATAATGGTTATATTGCCATGTTTTACTGCTTTTGAAAATATTTTCCAACTCTTTAATCACTAATGAATCATGTAATTTTATGAATTTGTTTGAGCATTTATAAGAGCTTAAATCAAAACCAATGTTGTTATTCCACTTCTGTCAATAATGTTGTCAAATGCAGTGCTTATGGTAATCTCAAGAAAGGCATTTTACCAGCTATCCCATTCTAATGCTTGATTAAATAAAAAAATTAGGAAATGGAAGCAGTGCTGTGCACAGTTTTAACTACCATGAAATCTTCATGAAATCTCTTACATCTTTGTCATTCATTCTAATGAAGAAGGGTGAAGGTTTTTTTTTTCTTGTTGAGTTTTTTAATATAAAAGCCAATGTTTAAGACCAAAATAGGCAAAAGAAAAAAAGCAACTTCAGAGCCAAATAATTTTGTAAATGTAGAAAGGAGACCTGGGGATCCTGAACTGCACAGAATTGTAATATTCAGAAGGCAGTTTAGCTGATAGGTGTGGCAAGCAACTGATTGTAGGATGTTATTCAAGGCCAATTTATTATTCAAATTCAAATTAGAATGGTCCTTATCTAATGTTGTAACTGCAAGGACCCATGTTTTCATGTACAGGCAAAGAAGAGACATGCTGAGATGTTTCCATAGTGATCCTTTTTTAGGATGAAGTGAGGATAGGATGTCTTAGAGTTCGTTGAAGTATGCCTAGCTTCATGGGAAGACTTCAGCAAAATACTTGCCCAGAGATGCTGTGGTTTCATGTTGACTGTGGGGCACAGAAGCCCATGGCTGATGTGATACAGTTGTATAATCTAGTCCAAGCTCTATCACACTGAAACTCACGCACACACGGTTTTCCGTTCCATGTCCGTTTTGGTGACAGGAACAAGATCAGAAGGAAGCTCAGGAGGTTTGAATAATCCGAAGAACCAGCACTTCAGGTGCTTTGCACAAACCTAGCAGTATGGAGGTGAACTGTGCTGTCTGGCTACCCACTGAATTACAGGGTTGTCAAGTCTAATGTAATGTGGATTTAACACCACATTTATTTAACTCATTTAGTAGAATCTAACTGATAAATCTTGCAACTTGCGTTGATACTGCACCATAAAACACCCACATCAGCCCAGTCTTTAAACGTGTGCTTAACTTTGCAGCCTTGTGATTAAGGTTGTGGACTGGGACACTGAAGAGCTGGGTTCAGTTCCTGCTCTAGTACAGTCATCCAGTGGGATCCAGGGTAAGTCACTAGGCCCCAATTTTTTGGAGCTGTATAGGTTTGTCTCTGCTCAGCTATGCCACATCTGTCTAATTAAGATCTAAAGTATCATTTACAATAGCATTATATGGTATAACACCTGTGTACTGTTGACTTTCAATGAATTGTATGAGCAGATTTTTTGAAGACAGTGATGCCAAAGCTTCTCACTTGCAATGTAAATTCTATCTTGCAGGAATTTTGAGAATCAGTCTGGGATATTTAATGGTTTCTGTGTTACATGTTTTTAAGATAGATAGTCCATCTCATTTTTGAATGTGGTTGTTGCTCTGTTCCTCTGTTTTCCTCACATTTATTTATTTCTGTTTCTTTTCATAATAGAAGGTAAATCCTTTGCATTCTTTCCATTATGTGCACATAGAAGACGAACTGTGAGAGACACCAAAGTACTGAATAGGAATGTAGCTGCTACCTCAGTAAAAACAATGCTGTCAGACAGTATCATTGCATAGCATATTAGCAGGTCATGAAAATAAAGCATAGGAGCTACTTCATTGATAACATAGCCTATAGACTGTGAGGTACATGAGATTAATATTCTTTGTCTGGTGTTCCAGTACTTTTTCACAGAATGGTTTGGTTTGGAAGGGACTTTAAAGATCATCTAGTTTAAACTGCCCTGCCATAGGCAAGGAACCTTCCACTAAACCAGGTTACCCAGAATCCCATCCAATTGGCCTTGAACAGTTCTAGGGATGGAGAGTTCAAAACCTTCCTGGGCAACCTGTTTCAGTGCCTAATCAACCTTATAGTAAAGAATTTCTTCCTAATATACAATGTAAATATACCCTCCTTCATCTAATGCCCATTCCCCCATGTCCTGTCACTACATGCCCTTATTAAAGGTCTCCTGCTCTCCTGTAGGTCCCCTTTAGGTACTGCTATAAGGTTCTATAAGGTCTCTCCAGAACCTTTTCTTCTCCAGACTGAGAAACTGAACTTTCCCAGGTCTGTCTTCCAGTCCTGTGACCAACTTGGTGCTTCTGGACTCACTCCAGAAGGTCAACATCTTGTGTTGGAGCTCCCACTTTTCTCCAATTTTATTTCTTCATTTTGTCCCCCTAGTCTTGAACTCAAGACTGCAATTACTCCACAATTAATGTCTTTGTAAGATCTTTGTAATATCTTTGTAATGGAAGGGGATGTCCAATTAGTGTGTACTTCATGAGGAGTGAAATAGCAACTGGACTTAAACACAAACTAATGCTACCAGAATGTCTGATACCTCCTGCACCGCCTAGGAAAATTTAGCTTTTCTGACAAAAACTATTCCATGAGATAAATTTCCCACTAAGGATATGAAAATGCCAGTACATTTTGATAGATTCCTAAAAAAGCCCTAGAAAGTTGACATGGATGAGGGAACTTGAAGCAGGACTTAGCAGGAGTTGAGGATAAATGCCAAATTGGTTTCTGAACTTCACTCAGCTTCTCTTTCATCACAGGATGAAGACATTGATTATACAAGCTAACTAATCTGAATCTAAGCTTTTGAGGTCTTTAGGTCTTTGCTTTGTAGCTTGCTTCAACGTGCCGCAGTCTGCATCTCTCAAATGTTTTTCCTTAGCCTTATAAGAGTTTCAAACAGGAGTTCTAAGGCCTTTGAGTTAGTTGTCCAGCACTGTGGTCTGTATTGCAGCGTAAGAGCCACGCAGAGTCAGGTGTCATGATGCTTATTGCTGATGCCTGCATGGTTTCTTAGCTCTGGTACTAAATACTCCACAACACCAAGGAGGAAGTTTGGCTTGGAACTTCTCAGTGTGCTTAGTGTTTGGATATATTTGCTTGCAATCAAACTTCCTGAAATAAATGGAGATGCATCCTTAAGTTAGAATTCTATATGATCAGTTCCTGGGAATAAGACCTTAAAAAAGAGGAAATGCTTTTTATATGTATGTTTATGCAAAAGTGAAGTTGCAGTTGCATTTTCAAATATGACTTGAAGAAGAGAGTTGGTGAGTACTGCAAGATGCAGACCTACAATACTTCAATTCGCTTCCACATCATGTTTCTGTTTTCTGTCTGGAGCCTTGTAGCAACAGGCTGATACAGTTTTCTTGCTTAGCTGAGTAGCATCATTATTATGTACAGCATGAAATCCCCTTTTTGAGCATCTGAGAAATGGAGAAATCAAGTTACATCTTCTGAAACTTCTTATGATTGATGCTCGCTGAAAATGTTGTGTACAGTGTTTTCTGTATTTCTTTTATATTCAGTCTTGCTGCTCTGTTACAAGTCAGGCTGTAAAGTTTTATAAGAAATATTCATTCAGCTCCTGATGATTCTGTATTTCTAAAAAGCTTGATTGAATGTCCAAAATTTCAAACAAATAACTCATTTCAGTAATATCTCACTTGCAGTAAGGCTTGCCTCAAACATGTTACAGTGCTTTATAAATTAGGTGTCTTTGGGTTTTTGATATCTCACAAGACTTATGACCAAGATTCAGCTAAAATTATTCTTGCATGGGATCAGAAGAGCTTTACAGTGAGGGACACTAATTCAAATATGAAGCTATTAGAAATTTTCACATTTGTTCTGTCAAGTTCTGACTCTTCTTCCATTTACTCTGATTTATACTTTGTTCCCCTCATAGGTGCCTATCTTGTGCCATACTTAATCTTGCTACTGATAATAGGGATTCCACTCTTTTTCTTGGAGCTGGCTGTCGGGCAGAGGATCCGTCGAGGGAGTATTGGTGTGTGGAATTATATCAGCCCCAAGCTTGGAGGAATTGGATTTGCAAGCTGTGTAGTAAGTTTTTTAACATTGTGCCATTTGCTTTCAGACATTATGATTTAGACTTCTGTTTTGCTGCAGGGAAAGGCCATGGATTTATAGATGGGCATCAAGGTCAGTTTACAGTGTTTTCAAAGATCTTAGAACTTGAATTGAACCATTACAACTGTTGGTATATACGTGTCTGCTAAGTCAGACATTTTTGTGATTCTTTTGAAATTAGGAACTGTGGAACAGAGTAGTCTTCTGGAGGAAAAATGCCTGTAAAAGTAGAGGTGTAACATGATGGAGAAAAGTGGAAATTTAGAAAATGTCAGGTACTTTAATGGGACAAGTCGTTCTCTTTTTTCTTCTGATTTAGTTGAACTAAATTTAGGTTCATTGACTGATGTACAGAAATATGCAGAAGTTCAGCAGGGATTTTTTTATTTACTTAATAAACGTAACTTTTTGTTTGTTTTTTTTTTCCTTTTTACTAGGTGTGCTTCTTTGTGGCCCTGTACTACAATGTCATTATTGGATGGAGCCTGTTTTACTTTTCCCAATCTTTTCAGCATCCGCTACCATGGGACCAATGTCCTTTAGTTAAAAATGCATCTCATACCTGTAAGTCTGTGTTAACATAAGGTTCTTAAAAATCATGTAAAGTATATAAAATTTGAGATTTTGAAGCAAAAAGGAGAAAAATTCAAGAAGATATTTGTGTGCTAAAGTTCTATGTGAAAGTGGTTTTCCATCTAATTAAGATATCACATTATAATGCTTGAAAAGATGCAACAAAAGCTTAATCTAAGACAAATACAGTGTATTTGGAAAGAAATGTCACTGTCAACAGCATTTTAAAGAGTAATTAAATTAGGAGAATGCTATTTAGTGACTTGCAGAAAAAAAATCTTATTTCTCTTTTTCTGATGCTGATACTACTTTTTATACTTGATAAGAAAGAAAAGTGAAAGAAGAAATTTTACATTTCAACTGGTAGAATACTTCCTGGCAAAATGTTGTTGGTTCACTAACAAAGGAGAAAATAGAAAACTGTAAATATCAATGAAATGCAAGTGATAAAAGCACGGTTTTCTTTGTAAATTAATAGAAATGAGATAATCAGTCCTTTGAGTTTTGCTGTAATGAGATAATTTTTATTATTATTTCTATTGAAATATGTATTATTTCTTCTTTTAGTTTCCTTTTATTTTAGATCCTAAATTTTCTTTAATTATCTTTTGTGAGTTTGTTTACCACTTGAATAAAGAACCAGAGATGTTTGAAAAGTTGTACCTTTTTGTAGAGTTCCAGAGTTGCTTGCTTCAGTTATTATACAGAAAGTCAGTACCAGTGAATGCTGACGCACAAACTGACTGTATGCCACAAGCTGCTGTGCATTAATTGAGCAGCACTGGTTGTTTATGTACTCTTACGCTTCCCAAATGCTAAGCTACAGTGTGTCAGCCTAACTTGGGCAGAGGCCCTCTGAACTAAGCTTTCTAAAGAAAACTATTATATTTGATAGCATCTTACTGTTTTTAATAGGTTATTTCAGTGAAGATCTCTCATCTTTGTTAGGTTTCTTAAAAATAGTGTATTTTCCTCTTTTTCCCATTAATTACCTTGACTCAGGACATGCTTACATGTATGGTTGATTGTCAGGCATAAATAATTTACAAAGAACTTAAGTAAATATTTTCTCCGAAGAAATCTTTCTATTTATATGTTACATGCCTAGATGCACACAGTTTCTTAAACTGTTTGGTAACATGACTATAACAGAATTACAGTTAGAAAAAGTGTAGAATCACTTTTGGAACATACATAGAAACTTTCATTAAATGTATCTGTGTAGGAACCATTTATTTGCTTTCCTCATCACTTTGGTATCATTATGTTATTATTTTATTGTTTATAATGGTAATTAAGTCCATGCTAATTTGAGTGACATATCAAAGCAAACACAATCAACGATTTGTTTTCTGTCTTCAAATTCGTGTTCATTCACTTTTCATAGTATGTAATTCATAGGATCATATACATATAATGTAATTTTATGTGTGATAAATGTAATGTATGTCCTCATATAAACCTGCCTACTATTTAGTTCTGAAGTGAGATATAAATTCTACCTTGGAGTAGGATTAACCATAATGCAGAGGAATACATTATCCCAAAAGGGTGTTTCAAGAGATATACCCAGAAATTTTCACTGATAGCAGTCACTTTTTCTTTTAAACAATGTCTTAAGACTGTTATGTGATTTTGGTTTCCTAATAAGTGATGATGGCACAATTAGAAATTTTGAGAAGTGGGAGAACACTGTTATGGAATATCTCTCCTGAACCCATTCTTTACATGCTAACATCTCTTTGACAGTTGTGGAGCCAGAGTGTGAAAAAAGTTCTGCAACCACTTACTACTGGTACAGAGAAGCACTGAATATTTCCAGCTCTCTGTCAGAGAGTGGGGGTTTAAATTGGAAGATGACTATCTGCTTGCTGGCTGCCTGGGTCATGGTATGCTTAGCCATGATCAAAGGCATTCAGTCTTCAGGCAAAGTGAGTATACTGTTTACCTGCATGATGCTGTTTTATTTTGAAGCATTTCAGAACATTTCTGTTCACCAAACCCTCTGTTTACTCATGAAATCTGTAGGAGCAGGTTAAGTGCTTTGACTCACCCCTCCATTTGTATAATCTCAAGTAGAGGAATATTAATAGTTAAGCATTAAAATTCCATCAATTTTATTGGAAATGGCAGTAATTTAGAGGGAATTGAGATCTGAAGAAGAATTTTGCTTCTCATCTTCTCATCCGCGTAATTGTTGCATGTAATGTACCGCAGCTTTATTGTGCAGCACAAGTCTCTGTGTTCTGAGTGTCTAAGGAAATAAGTTTCCATGTGTACTCACATTTGCATGCTTCTGGCATTAACACAGCTGCTTCCCAGGATTCTGGATTGTTTCTTTTGACTAATGGCTTGCCATCATCCCTTTGCATCTGAGTACTGTTACCTTGTCTTCTTTCCAGCCAGCTGCATTTGCTGGTTAAAGATTTGCTAGTTCTGTTTATCCTGGGGGGTTTTTCAGAGGTAAAATAATTTGTCCCAGTAGCAAAATTCTTTGCTATTAAAAAGTTTGGCACTGACGTGGCAATTTCTGTGATCTCCTTGGGATATTTCAGTTAAAGAAATAAGTAGCAAGTTTAACTAGCTAATCATTTTACTAAACTTTACAGAATAAATTTTCTTTTCAGTGATGGGTAATGAAAGATCAGATTTGATTACTATTTTTTGTTGTTTTGGCAGTAAGCATTACATAGTGGTTGAATTAATTGGTTATGTACTTTCTATTAATTCTTGTCCCCTTTCCTTCCAAAGGCAAAATTAGTTTCTATTCACGCTGCATACCTTTGCCATACACAGTCAGAGAGCTTTTGTGAAGAGAAGCATTTTTGCAACAGTTTACTTTTGTCTTTTATTGTTTCTTTTTGTCTCAATACTGAATTTCCCTGGGAGTCAGGTGGCTATTGATTAGTGATAAATACAGTTGGTTGCAGTTGTATTGTTTTTGTACAGTACAGAACTTAATTTATTTTGCAATCCTGTGATTATGCTTTCTTCTGCAGAGGCAAGGGGAATGGGAAGTGTTCTGCATATTTTTAGAGCATATGATCATCAATACACTCATACATCCAAAGGATACTGTGTAGTGAATGAACCTATTGAAAAGAAAGTCCATGTTAAATGTCATGTTACATTTTTTCTTCTTGTATTTCAGATCATGTATTTTAGTTCCCTTTTCCCATATGTGGTGCTTTTATGCTTTCTGATCAGAGGACTGCTCCTTAATGGGTCAGTGGATGGAATTCGTCACATGTTCACCCCTAAGGTATGTACTTAATTTCTGTTTGCAGGGTATTAAAGTTTCAGTTGGCAATTTGACCATTTATGAATGCTTTCATTTAAGCTTATTGTTTTCATAGAACATTTGGCTGTATTTCTGTTTGCTTAAATTGCAAAATTTCTGTTTAACTCAGTGGCACAATACCAAGCCCTAAAGTCCAAAGGCTCTAGGTGTTCCAAGGGTCTGTAGAGTTACCTCTCTTAGGTGAGGGTTCCCAGAGTTACATGCCTCTACAAAGCTAAAGAGATGAGAGTGCAGTTTAGAGGATTCAGGAAGTTTAGAGAGCTCTAAATACTGAAAAGAGAAGTTTGCCATTTACTAAATGTCTAGTAAAAAACAAATTTGTAAAAACAAATGTCTAGTTCTGGGTTTTCAGTGCCTTACTTGGAACTATTGTGGCATACATAATTAACTTGTCCCTTTTGAAAAAGAGCATTTATTTTTCTCCTTTTTAGAAAAAAAATAAAGCTTTTCTAGTAGCCCAAAGTACAGGAGACCTGTATTTAATAGTAAAGTAGTGTAAGTACTCGCCACTCAGCATTCCTTATCAATTTTCCAATGACATGCCAAGATAGCAGCAGTTCTAAGCATGTACTTTTTACTGCTGATATTTTTGCCAGGAACGTGCCTTACACATCTTTAGATTGTGTAACTACGGAGGTGATAAGGGATGTTATGAATCATTGTTTAGCTTGAAGATTTAAATTCTGTTCACACCTATCTCAAATGCTTGCAACTACATCTATACTATAGGAACAGCATGTTTAAATAGTCAGCACCCTACTAAGGAATGTAAAAGACTGGGCTTCATATTGTATGGTGAAATGGCCTTTCCTGCAAGTCCACTTCACAATACAGTTGACAAGAACAGGACTATTTTTTCAGAAATGAAAGCTAAATAATAAGATAATCAAAATCAATGCACATAGTGGCTAATGCCAGATGACAGGATGTTGTCAGTTGTTTTGATTCCAGATATTTTGAGTCTGGAGAACTGTCATCCTGTAAAAATGACCTTTGTCAGCTCTCACAGTGATGCAGTCATGTTCCACTTCACTCACTGTCACCACTTTAGAGAGTTACACTTGTGCAGGAACTTGCAGGCTGCAAGGCAGATTTGGGAAACCTGAGGAAGAGAGAAATGTAATGCCCATTAACAAAAGTAAGTCTAAAGCAGAGGTGGAATACAGATCTCTATGAGATATAATTTGGTTTCTCAACCATGGTGAGAAATGGTATATATTTCCTTTTTTGGCTGGAGAAGTACCACTAGATACTGAGGGAAAATAAAAATAAAAACTCCCCTTGGATACCAACACCTCTTCAGTATTCACTATTTCATGAGTTAGACTTAAATAAGTTGCAGCTGGTGCTTCCTTTACAGTTATGTTATACTTAATTATACAATTGTTTCAACTGTTCATATAAATGATATCAAAAGAAAAATGGTTCTTAATTTATTCTGTTTCCAGTTCTGTATCAAAATTTAAGCTGTGGTTTAAATTTAAAGTTAGGAGGCCTGTATGTCACATGTATTATATGTGAATATAAACCTTACAAAATATTTACATTACAATTTTTTGTACTTGAGCACTGATTTGGACTGTAGGCTCATGAGACTACCCGGAGAAATTCGAACGCCCCCACCTGTTGTTTGATTCACTCCGCTGTGCTGACACTTTATTTGTACATCCAGGCTATAAAAAGGAGTGCTAAACCTATCTAGAATGAAAATTATCCAGGTAGATAGATTTGAGAGGGGAGGGAGAAGCATCTTTTCAGCCCAATCAGCTGAGCAAATGACCACATTTTGAGCACAGATGAATTCTGTGCAAATTCCCATCAGTTATGCCAGCATGGTAGAGGACTGGCACACATTGCTGCAGGTGTGAGAGTTCCAGACTAATGTAGAAGGGGAGAATTTCTCTGTTTGGCATGGCTGTTAAACAAAGCAAAAATTCTAAATAAGAAACTTCATTGAAAACGTAAAGAAAGGTATGTGAAAAACCCACTTAAATCAACTACTGCAGTTAAACTATAGGATTATATGAAGTACAGAGACTCCAAAATTTCACAGGCAACACTTAATAGCAAATCAATCTAGAGTTATTTTGAAACACGCTACTTTTGGTGGTACCAAAGGATGTATTTTAGGAGGTGAGAAGTGTTCTGATATTTCAGCCGATGGCAGATTTGGTGCAGATAAGAACGTTCCTCGCGCTCCCTCTGGTGGGACATCTCTGGCACGACAGTGTGACACAGAACCACGTGCAATAGCCACTTGTGCATTGTAATTATAGTCTAAATAACTAGATTATAAAACAGGAATATGTTTATCGTCATAAACACTTTTTCTCAATTATACAATATTTCAGCTATAAATAAGTGAATAAAGAAGCTTTCTGCTGCCTATCTGTAATAAATATTATATCTCCATGAGAAACTGACCTTTTATTCAAAATGTTGTAACAATAGCAGATTTATTTCTCCTCAGAGTTAAGACAGTCAGTCTAATAGTGCTGGCATCTATGCTGATGCATTTTAGTTTTACTTTTATGAATAAACCTAGGGCTTAAAGAAAATAAGTCACTTGCATAAATGGAGGTTCTGAATCAGCGTAAGCAAATCTGATGTTTTAAATTTGACATGAACTTCTTTACTTCTGTGATTCAGTATCTAGAAGAATTTGAGATAGACAGATGATGACTCATAAATTTGTAACAAAGTTATTTTTTTAAGGACCAGTGCATTGATCTCAGTGAGCCATATTGTTAAATTTTTTGATAACAGGCTTAGTTGCCTCTGAAATACCCAACACATTTAACACAGGGTTAAGTTCAAGGCATCTGACTTAGGAGATTTGATTTCTGCACTATACAGCTTGTGGTGGCAAGTGTTAATTTCATGTATTTCGTTTTGCTTTACATATTTGCATGTAATAGAATTCCATATAAGCATGCGTATCTCATGTTCACCTTTTTTTTTTGTTCGTTTGAAAAGTAACAAGAAAGCAACTTTAATCATACTCACTGCATTTATTAAGAGGGTTGATCATTCTAAAATACATCTTAAGTCTAACAGAAGTCAGTATATATACTGTAAATAAAAAACAGTTAATACTGTAAAAAAAAAGTTCTCTCTTATTTCTCAGTATAACTAGCTGCTGTTTCAGTTACATAGCTCCAATAGTGTCTCACTGTTGGGAACATCCTCTACAGCATGTTTCTCTACAATGTTTAGATAATATAAAATAAACAGAAATTCTGGCCTATAAGTTTGCCAACTTCAGGGGTCGCATTCAGCTTTAATTTTATCGTGGTGAAAATACAGTTGTAGTGGAGTATTAGCATTTTATGATGTAGGGTTTATTCTGTTGTTTTTTTCTTATAATAGAAATGCCTTTTATAGCTGACATATATTATATCTAATTTCAAACAGCTTGAAATAATGCTGGAGCCCAAGGTCTGGAGAGAAGCTGCTACTCAGGTGTTCTTTGCCTTAGGGCTTGGATTTGGTGGAGTCATTGCCTTTTCAAGCTACAACAAGAGAGACAACAACTGCCATTTTGATGCTGTACTGGTGTCCTTCATCAATTTTTTCACTTCTGTGCTGGCAACTTTGGTGGTGTTTGCAGTTCTGGGCTTCAAAGCCAATATCATAAATGAAAAATGTGTTACCCAGTATGAATATCCATTTATTTTTTAAAATTATTTTTACGGTTTATTTAGTTTATGAACTAACACAGACCACTGAGTTTGTTCTCTCTGTTCTATTGTGTTTTACAGAAATTCAGAGAAGATTTTAAAACTTTTGAAAATGGGCAATCTCAGCCAAGATATGATCCCACATCATATCAATTTCTCAAGCATTACAGCAGAAGATTACAATTTAGTTTATGACATTATACAGAAAGTCAAAGAAGAACAGTTTGATTCTCTTGGTCTGAAATCTTGTCAAATTGAAGATGAACTTGACAAGGTGAGATTACATCTTGAGTACAGAGATTATGAACAGATGAACATTTATAAGCCTGAAGTGAGCTGTGAAGCGTACCTGCACAAAGTACCAGTACAGTGTACCTGTGAGCCATGCACCTGTAAAGACCTAGATGAAAACATGGCTGCATTCCAGCTCACTTGAGGACTTTTGGGTCTGACGTCTTAATATGGTCTTCACTGCTTTAGAATATATTTTGGTCATGATATCATTCTTCTCAGGAGGTGGTTTTTTAAGCTCTGTTTTTCAGAAGAATTGAGCTTGAGGGTTTTGCCAAAGACTAAACAGAGATGTTACTTATTCAATGTCTTAGACTGCAAGACAATCCAATGTTAAGATATAATTATTAGCTATAAATACTACTTCACTAAAACTAAAAAAATTATCATCTACTTACTAGGTAGTTGTTTAATGAGTATAATCCTGTTTTGAAATCTCATAGTAAGCCAAATCTGTAACAGAAATTATAGTTTTCTAGCTTTAGAGAGGCAATTGCTGATTGAAACACTGACTTCTATACAGTTGCACCAGCATCTGACAATAAAATATAAAATTGGTGATTTAGACGTTTAAAGTTTCTATAATATGGCTGCTGTTGAAATTTGATTTAAATTTCTAAGTATTGAAATTCAGTCCTTTATGTGCTTACTGGAGAAAACAGTGTATTTATATAGTGTCCTATATAGTAGCTGTCATGCAAAATTGTCAGTGAAAGGTAGAAAGAAGTTGTTCTGATTGGACATGAGAGGAAAATTCTCAGTAATGAGTGCAATCAGCCATTGGACAAATCTCTCAGTGGAAGTGGTGGGTTCCATATCATTGGACACTTTTAAGATTCAGCTGGACAGGGTTCTGGGCCATCTTCTTGAGACTGCTTTTGCCAAGAAAGTTTGGACCAGATGATTCATGAGACACCTTCAAACCAAGTAATCTATGAAAGAATTGTGTTAATGCCCATCAACTTAAAAATTCTTATGTTTCAGTAACTAGTATTAACTGGAAGAATTACATATTAGATAGCAACTTCCCTCTTTGCCTTCAAGGTGTAATCAATGACACTGTATGAACACAAAGTCAGACTTGTCAGGCTGTCACACTACCAAAAAAAAAAAAATAAAAAAAAAAGAATCATGAATAATGATACATTTTTTTTTTTTTTCTCACTGACAGGCAGTCCAAGGAACCGGTTTAGCTTTTATTGCATTTACGGAAGCAATGACCCACTTCCCTGCTTCTCCCTTCTGGTCAGTCATGTTCTTTCTCATGTTAGTAAATTTGGGACTTGGAAGTATGTTTGGAACCATTGAAGGCATTATCACGCCCATTGTTGATACCTTCAAGGTCAGGAAAGAAATTCTTACTGGTGAGTTGCACAAACTTTCTTTTCTCTGTAAAGCAGTAAGCTAAAATTTTTTTGAGACTATGAATTTTCTTTTTTGTGTTGTTTTTTGACATGAAAGTTTACAGAGCATTTTACAGAGCAGTAAATCACTGTACAGAATGTACTTCCCTGCACAGGCACATTAATATCTGCCAGTAAAACCTTTTCCTGAATGTTACAGTAGCATAAACACCCTTAAATTTTAATTTAATGTCTGTTAAAAGTTTCTGTAGGGTCAGTCCTTTTGGGTTCTTTCAGAATACTTTCCATTCCAGCCTGTGTTGCACATTGGAGAAAAAAAAGGACAAGAGTGAAAATACATTGCAAATTACTACAAATTACTCCTGAGTAGGCCAGATGAAATCATAATTTATGAGGAATTTTTTATTATGCTAAAATCAGTACAATTACTCTCTAGAGAAACATATTTTTCTCTGTTAAATGTTTATAAAGTCTTAAACAAGAAGTCTCATTGTTTTGTTTGGGGTTTTTTTATTACTTAAATGCCCAAAGTTGTTTGAGGTGTAGCATGTTCATGTAGCTTTGACTTGTAGGGATTTCTCTTTTTTATATAAAAGACCAGCAGAGGTGTGAAGTTAGATTCCTGAAAACCTTCATGACAGCTGCAAGGGACTTGGTGTGTTATACACAAATTCAGCTTTCATATCAATGCCTGTAAAAGGTGGGATAGAAAATAAATTTTAAAAAAAGGTGCTTTAACATTATCTAATTCTATGAAGAAAACAATAAAAACTGTGAGAGAAATAATAATATATTTTATAGAAGTTAACCCTTGATGCAGCAGAGCACTGTTTTTTTCCCAATTGCTTTCCTTACTTTACTGAGATAATAAGTAATATTTAATAGATAAAAAAATCAAATTCTTAAAAAAAATGAATAGATTGATTTTTCAGAAGTTGTGAGTTGTTTTTGATCCGTTTGTTTTCTTGAATTAGGTCTTAACTTCATGCTGAATAACCAGTGCAACAATTAGAAATTAGCTGTTCTTCCTAAGTATGTGTGCAAGTACCGTGATATAAAGTCATTACACTGGAGTAATGGAGCATTTTGCAGTATTTGTTAACTCAGTTTGACAAAAAAAAAAAAAAAAAAAAGATAAGGAAATGTCCAAGAACTACCATTTTTTTGTAACTTTTTTAAGTGGTGTGCATGCATGATTTTAGCTAAACTCAGTTGTACTCAAAAGATTACAACTTGATGTGGTGTTTTGTTAATTTACTGAAAAAAATGAAATATCTGGATTATTTTTCATGCAGTATTGGGGGCATTTAAGGATTATGTCTGCAATAGATTTCATGCTTACAAGACAAAAGCTTTCAACTTTTACAGAATGGTTAGGACATTTGCAACTCTTTGAGTTCAAGGAAACCAACTCAAATGCTTAAATTCATTTTGCATTCAACAATGTTGTGCCTCATGCTGAGTGGTGGAAAGTTCATAAAGTCTTTATAGTAATAGTTCTACAAGGTTCAAGAAAGTGATTAGACTTCTAGCACAGTATTTGAAACAGTGTCATTGTCTTACTTTCAGTATTGTAATCAATAATTATCTTACAGTGTCTGTATTCTGTAAAGATATTTTATATTTTGACCCAGATTAATTTCACATAATTTTGGACTGCTTAGGTACATCCTTAGCCTAAGTTTCCTTTGAGAAAAAAGAAGAGCACTTTAAGAATCAGTCTTACTGATGCTCAGCCTACAACTGATGTCGTGATTTACTGATATTTAACTTAATTAATAATTAAGTCCTGTTACTGACAATTTTAGTTGGAGAAAATGATATTGAGATCCATTATGCAGGATCAGCCTTTCAAGAAGTATATTTTGGGGCGTCCCTAAGGAAGGGACAGAAATGTTGCATAAATGTACAAATACATATAGACAGATCCTAATACAATTTTATGCTATGAATGGTCTTTTAGGGAAAGTCTATTCAGCCTTTTTGTTTTTTATAATCATAGTCTTTTTAGAATCATAGAAAATTTTTCATATTATTTTTTTCCCCATATTTTCACTTCTAAGTTCTTTTCACTTCTGAATTTTAAAAAGTGAGCTGGTGACCAGTTAACATGATGTATGATGTTTTGCCTACTGGATGATTTACCTCTGCATTTACATTATGTTTAGTGAGAAATAATAACTTGATTGATCACTGCTGCTTAATCAGGACTGCTGTGTTACGGTGATTCTAGTAATTCTAATTTTATAACTTACCCATTTTTAGGAAAGAGGTAGGATTACTAATATTCTTAAAATTGAGACCCCCCCGAAACAATAAAATGTTACCGAATTTACTTCTATGAAACAATGCGTTACTTCCTCTTTGTTGATGGAACTTTGTTGCAGTTGTGGCTCATATTTCTGTCCTTTATTCCAGTCATCTGCTGCTTGGTAGCATTTTTTATTGGCCTGATATTTGTGCAGCGCTCTGGAAATTATTTTGTGACGATGTTTGATGACTACTCAGCTACTCTGCCGCTGCTTATCGTGGTCATTTTGGAGAATATTGCAGTCATCCGAATTTATGGAATAGACAAGTAAGTGAAGGAAATGTATCTCCCTGACCATATCAATGCCATTCTTTACAATAATTATTACTATTTTAATTATAGTTGTGAGAAAGGAGAGGATAGCAAAAATAGGGTCAAAGCTTTCTTGGAAGCAGCACAGTTGACGACAGTAAAGTGACTGGTTGGGGATGGGTGAAGAGGAATGACCATAAATCCCTCTTATTTTTTTTCTTCTTTTTAATTCCTTTTATATGCAAAACCAGCAGAATGTGTTCAGGAAGTGAGATCAATATGTGCCACACTTAAGGAATAGAAAAAAGAACAAGTGCCATGCACAGGTCAAACAGAGAATGCTGTTGACGTAATTTAAGTGTCTAACTTTTCTTGAAGAAAAAGTGTGACATAGAATGGGTGGAGTTTCATTTGACTTTTCACTTGTTTGATATGAGTAATCAGCCAGTCCTTTGTCATAAAGAAACAAAACTATAAGAAGAAAATTTAATTTTAATGGTTTCCAGACATTGTTTCTAGTCTATGCAAGTAGTACTTGGTCTGCTTACTCATTAAGGGAGAATTCCAACTTGGGCCACATGTATAATTCTGTAATTGATCATTTAGATATAAAAACACCACGTAGATTATTTTACACATGCAACCAAAAGATAAAACAGATGACCTGGTTATAAGGTTGGTAATGTCCAAGCTCCACTGTGAAAGGAGGTAGATGTGTCAAAAGTCAGCAGCTTACCTGTGAGGAAGTTGATGTTTAGGCATAGCTAAAATAGGTTAATCCTTTGCTTATGACTCACAGTGCAGGTGATTCATGTTTTCAGAAGGGGTTCTGATGGGATACAGTGACAAGTTAACAGCCAAGTTTCTCCTTTGTAATGACCACCTGAGTATTCCTTCTGGAGTATTCCTAGTATTTCTTCTGATGTATGTTCCTCCAGAGTGTCCTTCAGGAACCTAGCAATTCAGTTTGCAAAAACTGTCAGTACCAACAGCCCCAGGTTGCCATTGGCTGTGATTAGTACCAAGGGTTCCTTGGAGGTGAAATTCCATACAAATGTCTTATTAGACATAAAGTCTTTGATCAGACAGTAGAAAAGCAAGGCATAGCATACAAAGGGTGCTACAGAAAAAGAGACAATGTGTGAATCTCTGTAACCAAGAGGGAAAATCTCCCATGCTGGAATCAGTGCTATGAGGAGCTTGAGGTAAAGGAGATTTTTAGAAGAGGGTAAGTAGGATGGAGACAGTGGAAGACTTTAAAATAAAGGTAACAGATTCATGTTCAACTGGAAGAAGAACTAGAGATTTCAGGAAGAGAAGGCTATCTACAGAGGGCACAATCCATTTGTAAATTCAACTTCCTTTTAATGATGCGTTTTATTTCAGTGTAAATAAACAATAGAATGCCTCAAGCTGTGCAGGTAAAATTTTTTTCTGAGCATTTACATGACAGAAGCTTCACATGTGTAACTGCTTGGAAAACATCCTTTTTTGAGATGCACATTTTGAAAGGGAGTGGGACTACAAAGGAGTTAAAACAATCATTGCTTACTCACACTCCAAAATAATTATTTCTAAAAGCATTCTGTGTGTCTACTGGCTCTGGAACCATATACTCCATCATGAGTACAAAAATAGGAGTTTTGTTCATGTCTTAACTTAGAATTTTGAGGAGAAAGGAGGCAGTTTTATAGCTTGGCAAAGGTTTATTTCAGCAGTTTATACAATGCAAACCATAGCTTTTGCATAAGGTTGTTTTTTTAGACTGCAGCACATGTGTTGGTTCAAAACTAATATTGCACAATCTGTAAGAAGTGCTGGTAAACAACCTAGTAGACAATACAAGAAAACATAAAAAAAAAATGTTATAAAAGAAAAATTATTTTAAATATCTTCCAGCACAGTCCAGCAAGCAGCTTACTAAGTCACTGCACTGTGCAGGATTCCTTTTGTTCATCTGGTCTGAACAGACGAACAGTATAAGCTCTATTTTTCAGCCCATCAAGTAATTTAAACTACAGCTATTTCTATATATGTATTTTTCCCAGTGTGTTGTTTCCCTCAGGTTAGGTGCTATGTATCAATTACAGCTTTCAAAATCTCAGTGCCTACACTAACAATGACATTTTAATCCCTTCACAGATTTATGGAGGACCTGAAGGATATGCTGGGGTTTTCTCCAAGCCAGTATTATTACTACATGTGGAAGTATGTTTCACCATTCGTATTGTTATGTTTGCTGGTAGCTAGCATTGTCCAAATGGGATTGAGTCCTCCTGGTTACAATGCTTGGATTGAAGATACGGTACGTATATAGCATGTAGGTGCATACGTAGGGTTTGGATGTATATGTGATACCGTTACCATCATCATAGTGATCGTGTCGGGAGCGTTTGAGAAACACATGAACAGACAAAAAAATTACAAAATCAGTATAAATAATGACATGATGGTTGCTTTTATCTTAAGTAAATTCAATGTAAAACCACCAGTTTTTTAAATTTTAGGGTAGTTCTGCTTTAAAATATAGCTGATTGACTCAAACCTTTATGCTCTGGGTGACTTTTATTTTGTAATGTATGATGAAGAAACTCTTAAGGATGGGAGAGGTTGTTCACATTCATGAAGTCTTACTTTGCTGCAGAAAAGAGGTGACAACTACATAAATCATTTTAGATACCACATCAGGTATTTTCTGTGGAATTAAGATTTAGCCATGTCGTAATTTTTCCTTTTGGGAACACATGACAATGTAGGTAGCAGCTGTATGTATTAAAACCTGTCTCTGATAAGAACTTTTCAGGGTGAGCAGCAAGACAGTTCTGAGCTTTGACTTCAAAGAGATACTCAGTCAAGGTAACTCTGAAGACTTCAGCTGGTTGTAGGCTCACGAGCCCTGAGCTATTTCTACAGGCTTTTTCTGCAAAATGGAGAGAGAGAAAATGTCAGAAAAATTCATCTAAAGAAACTTTCCCAAATTAGCCAGGGGGGAAGTCACAGCAAAGACAGGTAAAGGATAAATGTAAGAGGTCAGCATTACTATAGGTAGATAGTATGCCTGCCTCTATCCAACTACATGATTCTCAGGAAAATGCTCTTGTTACTTTTGATTCTTGCCCGCAAAAACTAGAAAGAGAAATACCTTAGAATACCAAACATGCCATGCCTTTTCCTGTACAGAATCAGGCAAGCGGGGGCTGTTGGTGCATGAATGCAGTAGAGGTGTGGGGTGTAGTCAGTGCTCCAGCATTATAGTTTATTGAAAGTTTATGCAAAGTGCAACAACTGAGATGGTTCCTGTCTAGAACAGCTATTAGCCTACAGAACAAGGGCTAATTTTCCAGGCATAGTTACAGATACCACTGCACATTTGTCTGTTCTGGGCACCCTTTAAAGGATCAGGGAACAACTACAGAGAAATGTAGCAGAAAGCCTAAAGTGAAAATCTTGAGTTGTGTGCTGCTGAAGTGCTCTCAGAAACTGTTCAGTGGTGTTTTAGTCCTCCTCACTGGCTGAAAGATAGCAGTCCTACATCTCCATGACTCTACAAATCTGAGATCTGTAGTGGTGCCCACGCTGTGAGTGCAGTGGAGGATGTATAGTTTCCAAAATGACAGACCTCAGTGAGGACTGGGGCATTTTGTTATTTTTCTGGGAAAGATGTATTAATAGTTTCTCTATTGTATTTCTCAGGCTATGGAAGAGTTCCACAGCTATCCAACATGGGGAATGATTGTCTGTATATCTTTGATGGTGTTGGCCATACTGCCAGTCCCAATAGTCTTCATGGTACGCCGTTGCAACCTTATTGACGACAGTTCTGGCAGTTTGGCGTCTGTCTCCTACAAAAGAGGCCGGATAATAAAGGAACCTGTTAATCTGGAGGGAGATAATACGAGTCTGATTCATGGGAAGAGTCCGAGTGAAGTGCCATCTCCAAATTTCGGCAAAAACATCTATCGAAAACAGACTGGGTCACCGACTCTGGACACGGCTCCAAATGGACGCTATGGTATTGGCTACCTGATGGCAGATATGCCTGACATGCCAGAGTCTGATTTGTAACCACAGGAAAAGAAGTGCCGTTTGTTTCTCCTCCCACTGACCACGGCCCTGCTATGAGAAGTGGTCAGCATCACTTACTAGGGTGCGATCTCAGGTGCTCCATAGTGACAGTCTGTAAAATGCCATGACTGTATGTACTGGGTGAGAAAACTCCCTTTGGATTAATTCTGAGTTTTTATTTGCACTGAAGGAAACATTCAGATTCAGTGGCAACCTACAGCTGCCAGCATAGCCAAGAATTGGATTTTTTAATTAACTTCTAAATTTAAAGCTTTCTATTTCTGAAGCCCAGCTCTCGCTCAAATGATAAAATATTTCTGAGGTTATATCATGGAAAAACCTTTTTTTTTCTGCTGAATTTCAGGTTAACTCCCAAGTATTAATGGTGAGCTCAGTATTACTTCACCAAGTCTGTTTGTGTAAACACCTGTATATACCTTATGTAGATATGCTGTACTTATTTTATTAGCACTGATAATTACTTAGGCTATTAGCTGAGTAAAAAACAAACCTGCAAACTATTTTCTTATATAATAGCTGTATAGAGCAATAGTATTAGAAAATCGAGGAGTAGACTTAATAGGAAGGCGATCAAAAATTCCCTGTTCACTGGGGACTGCATAAACTGTGCCTGTATATTTTGTGTAAAATATTTGCTTTTTCAGTGTGAAAACAATGTTAGAGTGAGTCACTCCAAGAATCTTAAGGATTGTGCAGATTCTGCATTTTTTTCTATGCTGTGTGCCTAAAAAAGACCTTGATATTTATTGTGGTTACAAGATTACATATATATTATATTTATATAATATACTTGTAATGTAAATATGTATATTATTCTGTATGTAATCGTTTCAAAAGTTGAAGCAAGATGGCTTTTTTAATTAGTCTCCTTCAGTTTTGCTTCTGTTTTATGCAGATAATTTTTTTCAGTCAGTAATTGTTAAGAACTGTATGGCATTACATTTTAACCTACAAATAAAGAGATTGATAAAGTATTTCTCTGTGATACCCTAATACACTTATTGTAACACAGCCTGCTTTTTCCTCATCTGGACTACCTGAAAGAATGATATTTGCTAGATGAATAAAGATGCTGAAAGAACTTGAACAAAGCAAAAAATCAGTCATCTTAATAAACTATTGGACAGGGCCATTTACTGTGATTACAGGAGGTGAATGCAGCATTGTAAACTGGCAGGATACTCTGGAAGCTGGTACATGATCTACTCCTTACCTTAAGTGTTTTAAAATTAGGCATAAAGTCTGACATTTTCTACCTCTAATAAGCAAAGGGCAGAAATTGGTTTGCATTGTCCTGGCATCAAAGAACCAGATTATTTTATTTGATGTAAATGCAGGTCTCTGTAGCTCTGTCTTGAAACTACAGTTTTAACCATGTCAGGATGGAAAAGGTATGTCAAATAAATGGAAAGGAGCAGAATCTTAAGGAGCAAAGCACTTTATCAACTTGACAAAATTCCTTATGGATAACTGTTTTGTCGCAGGAGAATAATCTCAGATAATTTCCCACTTTTAACCTGAGAGCTTTTGAAATAATTTCCAATCATCAGAAAGTTGAACTAGTAGCGTTAGTTGACAAAAATCTGTATTTAATTATCAGGCTTATATTACATGTGATAGAAACTGTGTACGTCAAAAAGCATTTAAAGAAGTCCTCTAAAGTGCACGTACTGGAACCTGTGGGGTAAAGCTGGCATAATTTAAGCAGCTTGTTCTTTTATAACTGATGTATTGGCAATACTGGTGTGCATGTAATGGCTCACCATTAGAGACAGAGCAAGCATGTACAAAATATTCCTGATGTGGCAGAGCAACAGCAGATCTCCACCATCATATATCAGGCTTCTAAAGTGGCTGTTCGGGTAGGTGCCATGCACACCGCTGTGCCCAGTCCACAGAGTGCAGAATTCTGTTCTTACAGATGAGTTACCTGTACTGACACATGCTTTTACTTAAAAAAACTATTTTTTTTCCGTGTAGAGTCATGGTCAAATGTTTGCTGCTACAGAAGAGTTGTTAAAATGAGTGTGAGCAAGATCTTACTATTGAAGTGCAACAGCTACTTCTGTTTAATGCATCATAAAGGGGACTAATGCTGCTTTAGCCAACTGCTGGAGATTATTCTGCTGAGGAGTATATATCTGCCCTTTTGCTCTTTACTTTAACACTTTTAATGAGTACTAAGATTTTCCACTCATTTAAACCACTAGTTCTCAATTGGTTGCTTCCTATTAACTCCAGTTAGCACAACACCTCGGCTTCATGAAATGTTTCAGGCTTGAGAAAACCCAAAATGTATGTCCTGTCTACTGTCAGATGTTCAGTTCATAATTTGATAATAGCTGTGATTGAAAACACTCAAGTGCAGAAGTTCTGTAGCCAGATGTGAAGATTTAAAAAATCTAAAAGTAATTGCTATAAGGTGTGACATCCAGGTTCTTACTATTAATGAAAGAACTACTGAAGCAAAGAAAGAAATTGTATGTACAATTGCTGTTAAAGCCAAGGGAATTTAGCCTGCCTTGGTACTTCAACTTTGGGAGCAAAGTAGTAAAAGAAGAGGGCAGAAGAGAGAGATTTCATATTTACCTGCTTAAAAGCCAGAATGTGTGTCCTGTCAGTCATAGCTACAATTAATCTGGGGGGTAAGGGGGGTGGTTTAAGGAAGAGATCATTGCAAAAGTCAGTCATGCTTAAAATGAAAGAAAATTCTAATTGAGTCTTACACAATTTTGTTCTTAGGAAATGGCCTAAGAGCAAAATCATCTGTGTGAAAAGTGAAAATAGGTTTCCAGTATCATTATTGCAGAAATCATAAGGTTCCTTTAACCAATATTATTTTTGGGATCTGATTTTGCTACAGAAATTTAAAAGAATCAGTCAGCATTTGTGGCACAAATGAAGGCCACATAATTACCTCTATACTCTTCAGCAGAGGTTCCCAAATTCAGTGACGTGCAGGATAAACATGCAGACTCAATACCTATTTTTAGTGGATGTGTTTCGATGGATCAAAGTTTTATTGATATCTTACAGAGTATCATGCAGTGAAGAAAAGATAAAGAATGGGGGGAAGAAAAAAAAAAATTAGTAAACATAAAAAAGGGGAAAAAAATTGAGCAATTGTAACCCTATTCTCAGGAAGCAGCAGATACAGTTTAGTTGGTGAATCCTTATCTTTCCATGAGGGGAACAGTGGTCTTGTCACACAAGGGAGAAATCGGTTATGATTGTGATAATAGAGCAGAGAAAAAAATAAAAAGGATATGTTTGCAAAAGAATTTTAGATACTCTGAAAATGCCTGTATTAACCACCATGGAACACCCAAATGCTCTGTTTAGGTGACATGCAGAGTATTACAAAAAAAGCTTTCTACTTCTACCACATCTCTGAGAAGTTAGCAGCCAGATAGTTACGTGAATTTTTAAAAAATGCAGGAACTTTAATATAAACATCTAAATGCCTAGTTAGATTCCGTGGTTTGAGGAAAAAAGGAGGGTCTAAATACTAGCTGTAATTTACGTGCCTCGCCACTTGATGGTGCTCATGTCATGTCTGTTGATGAAATGCTCGGGAGTTTTGAAAAGGGCAGAATAATGTATTTTTATTATCTATCAAGACAAGATTTCTGAATGACCATGATGTTTCTGAAGCTCAGAATTTGATTAATCTGTTCGTTCAGCAGCTTTCATATATATACTTGGGTTTTTATTTTCAAGACTCACAAATTTTTAATGCTATCAAAAGCAAAACCGAGCTGTCAGTATCCCATTGCCAAGTAGTACACTTTCGGGTCTTGACAGCAGGCAGTAGGTTCTTGAGTAAATATTTAGAATCAGTACTTTCTAACATGCTTTATTATTATTATTATTTATTATTTAGTTATTATTTTTAAAATACATTATTACTTGCTATTTTTATTTCTTAAATTAGCAAAGTAATTAGTCGACCAATTAGTGGAGTAAGAGAACCTCTGACTCTAATATTACTACTAACACTGATAATGATATTAAAAACTTTAATACTTCTCACTGCTATCATCAGTAAGTGATTAAAGTTGCCAGGAGGTAGATGAAAGGCGTTGGGGAGGTAGCAAGAACACTGAGAAGAGGCAGCAGCTGAAGGAGTGACTCTAGCGTGCACCATTGCTTCTGAGGAAAGCAGCTACTGAGGTATCTGGTACTTTTTTAAGAGTAGTACAGCTGGTAAACGTGCCCTGGGCATCTGTTTAACTCTTTTGGTAAGGAAGGTATCAAGTGCTTCTCACTAGCTCTGACAAAACCACTGTACCTTCCATTTATACTGTATTCATCATTACTGACAATTAAATGAGTGAAAAAGACTAACTAAGACAACCTTGTCTGAAATCAGCATCAGTACATGTCTTTAGTGATTTTTATCCAGCAAAGTACACAGAACTGCAATGACAGCTCCCATGACATAGTCTTTAAAATAGGGTGTTAAGATAAAGAAAACATTCAGTGAAAAAACAGATATAGACATTCTCCCTTTTTTATTCAGTCCCATGTAATTTTCTGGTTTTGTGATGCTCTCTGAATCTTTCATGTCCAAACCAAATAAAACAGGTGAAAAAAGAGAAGTATGTTTTCCAAAACTAGAAGTTCAAAGACATGAGATACTCTCTTAACTGAAAGGAGTTGAACTGATTAGTGAAAAGAAGAATGCTGTGAAAAGGCAAAAGAAATTTCCTTCAAAGCAAGTCTAGTTGATTTTCAGATTTTTGATTCAAGCAAAAAGGAAACACATACAAAGAAAGAGCCATGCTTGCAGTCCTGCAAATAAAGAATTAAGAAAGAATTAAGAAACATGTCAAAAGACTGATGAAAGGGGGTGAAACTGAAATGGATCACATTAAAAGAGGAAGGAAAACGATACTGAGGACAATAAATGACAAAGTGTAAATTGACAGGTACTAGTTGATCACAAAAAGGGGTATGGGGTGAAAAAAAAGGACTTCAGAAGGAAAACAGGTTTTGATGGCTGGTGAAGTGTGGTGTAATCAAACCTTTATAAGAAATGGTCTGCAGTAAGATATAGCTGTTTAGCAGAGGTATGAATCAAAGGTAGGTGAAGTTTTGTTAGCATAGGAAGAGAAGGAGAGAAGAGGAATGAATCAGGACAGGAGAACAGTGGGCTGGGGAGAAAGTCTTGAGCAGAATTAAATTCCCTTCATGCATCTCTAACATACCAAAGAGCTTGATTATCTTTCATAATGCATTTTGAGATGTTATGGGGGAAGATGTTAAGGAAATGCAGCCTTCCAAAAGACTTCATTTTAGCTGTCTGATCTGAAGACAAAATTATCAGGGTAAAATAGCAGTGAAATTTTGCCATATATTTAAGGTTTAAGGAGAAAAATAATTACTTAAAAACACAGAAAACTCAATGTATGAGAATATGAGGTGAAGAAAAATGAGTTTGTGACTAAAAGCTGTGAGTTGGAGACCACTGTGTTACTGTGATTTAACATTTTAGTAAATCTCTTGGGCATTTGCCTAGCAAAATGAATATGAATAGTTCCAACCATTATTCATAGACTTGAAATTAACCAAAATCTCAAAGCACCTAAAAGATATGCATTTTACTGCCTGGTCCCTGGAATGAAAACCAGATACCCAGCCTCCCATATGCAAAGCATCTGGACAGTGAAGTGCTCCAAAATTATATGCCTATAAATGGGCAACATTTGGTGTGAGACTTAAGTGTGACAGA